TTTTAAAATATGTATATTCCTGCATGCACAAATTTCTAACCATCTCTTTTTAAAATGTACTCTGCAAAGGTTTTCTTTTTTTAAGTTAATGGTGGTTTTGTCCCCTTTTCTCATCATCTATCTATAAGACTAATTTTGAGTGTAAACTGTTTCTTAGCTTTTTAAAAAAAAATAAAATAGTTTTTTATATTAGTGTTCTTATACTTCAGAATCTCACTTATTTGAGATAATCTGGGCACTCTAAGAGCCTTATTAGCAGCAATGCAGGAGGAGTTTTGTAGCAGTCTGTAAGATAAACTGGAAGAAGTAGAGTGATTTTATCCTACAGCTGAAGCTTGATGTAGGAAGACAGGGGTAACTTTTTCCAAACAGCAGGAGTGACATCCACTTCCTAAATAACATACCTCTAGAAACTCTATGAACTTTGACAAATGTCAATAGTTGTAGGGGGGCTTCAGGCCTTTTATTCATAGGGTCGCTATAAGTCATGCTCGACTCAAAGGCAATCAACAACAACAACAACATTCAAGAGAGGAGGGAAAAGTACAAGATCCCACTTTACTGATTTCTTAGTTACTACAGATCCATTGCCATCTCAGGAAATTTTGTGACTTATGGGACTTGAGGAACATCTATTTTCTCCTCTGTGTGTGTGTGTGTGAGAGAGAGAGAGAGAGAGAGCTGTAGTTGCCAATTCAAATTCAATTTCTACATGTACAAGGGCTAAAAAATCCAAAGTGCTAAAGAGCAAGGATGCCAGTTTAAAGACCAAGTTGCACCTGTTTCAAGTCATGGTTGCTTTCAATTGCTTCTTGTACATCTGAAATTTGGACAGAAAAATAGATGCTTTTGAATTGTGGTGTTGAAGAAGAGCACTGTATATCCAATGGACTGCAAGTGGAACAAACATGTCTGTCTTAAAGGAAGTACAGCATGGGTGGCGAGATTTTGTCTCACATGCTTTGAGTCTATTGTCAAGAAGTGCTATTCCTTGGAAAAATATCTCATTCTTGAAATGGTGGAGGATCAGAGAAAGAGAGAAAGATACTCCATAAAATAGATTGATACAGAGACTGTTACAATGAACTCAAACTTGTTGTAGACCACAAAGATGGCTTGACCTTTAATATTAATATGGAAGCAGGAGTGGCATCCACTTCCTAAACAATATGCCTCTGGAAATGCTGTGAACTTTGAGAAACAATGATAGTTCTGGAAAGACTTCAGGTCTTCTGTCCGTAGGGTCACTACGAGTCAGCTTGACTCAACAATAATCAACAACAACAGTGTTTCCTTGTTCTGTTCTGAATACTGCTTCCTGGTTTGAGTATAGGTTTCAGAACAGCACAATCAAGTGTTCTGGGATTCCCATTCTCCTCAAGGTTAGCCACAATTTGTTGTGATCCACAAAGTAAAATGCCTTTGCATAGTCAATAAAACACAGATAAACATTCTTCTGGTACTCTTTGTTTTCTGCCAAGATCCATTTGACATTGGTGATAATATCTTTAGTGCCACAATTTCTTCTAAACCCATCTTGTATTTCTGGTAGTTCTCCATCAATGTACTATTCCAGTTGTTTTTGGATAATCTTCAGCAGGATTTTGCTTGTGTGTGATATTAGTGTTATTGTTCAGTAATTTCCACACTCTGTCAGGTCACCTCTTTTTGTGGAATGGAAATAAATATGGATCTTTTCCAGTCAGATGGCTTGGTAGTTGTCCTCTAGATTTCTTGGCACAACTTAGTGAGCATGCCCAGGGCAGCATCTGTTTGTTGAAATATGTAAATTGGTATGCCATCAATGCATGTGGCCTTATTTTTTTTTCCACATCCTTCAGAGAAGGCTGCACTTCCTTCTTTTTCACCATTACCTCTTTATCATATACTGTTTCATGAAACTCTTCTGTGTCAACCAATTCTTGGTACAGTGACTGTATACTCCCTCTGCCTCCTTTTAATGTTTTTTTGGAAAAGTCAATAATCTGCCTGTAGCATCCCTAAGTATTGCAACTTGAGGTTTATATTTGTTCTTTAGTTCCTTCAGCTTAAGAAATGCTGAGTAAGTGCGGCACTTTTTGATCTTCTTACTCCAGATTCTTGGATAGTTCATTATAATACTTTGCTTTGTCTTCCTGAGCTTCCCTTTGAAATCTTCTATTCAGCTCCTTAACTTCTTGATTTCTTCCCTTTGCTTTGGCTTTTTAATGTTCTAGTGCAATGTTCAGATTCTCTTCTGACATCCATTTTGGTCTTTTCTTCTTCCTCTCTTTGTAGTTAGCTTTTGTATTCTTTGTGGATGATATTCTTTATATCCTCCCACAGCTCATTGAGTCTTCATTCATTAGTGTTCAAGGCCTCAAACCTGTTCTTGAGTTGATTTTTAAATTCAGGTTGGATAGATTCAAGTTTAGATTTTGATTCCTGTAGATCTGATCGGACCTCCTTTAGCTTTAATTAGAAAAGTGTATGTATATACAATCTTATATAAATAAAATATTTTTAGAGATCATTCAAAACAGCTAGAACAAGACATTGACAGGTAACTACAAGGTGTACAAGCTGAGTTTAGGAGAGGCCACAGCTCTGTGTATGTTACTGCTTATGTTAGATAGATCCTGATAGAAAGCAGAAAATACCAGAAGAATATCTATTTGTGATTTATTGTCTATGCAAAGGTATTTGACTGTGGATCATAAATACTATGGCTAATATTGAGAAGAATGGTAATCTTAGAACACTTAATTGTACTAATATGAAATCTAAACCTAGACCAAGATGTTGTTTGAAGCAAGCAGGGGAACACTGCTTGGTTTAAAATCAGGAAGAGTGAACATCTGGGTTATAGCCTTTCTCCATATCTATTCAATCTGAATGTTAAAAAATAATTAGTGAAACTGTAATGAAGGATGTAGCATTAAAATTTGAGGAAGACTCATTAACAACCTGTATTATGCAAATGACACAACTTTGCTTGTTGAAAGTGAGGAGGATATGACGCACAGAAGCAGAAGCTCAGGGACTATAGCCTCCAGTATGGATTACACTTCAACATTAAGAAAACAAAGCTCCTCACCACAGGACCAGCAGTCAACATTTTGATAGAGAAAGGAATGAAGCTGTCAATGATTTTATCTTGCTTGGATCAACAGTCAGGTACCAGAAGTCAAGAAATCAGGAGTCACAGTGCATTGCCTAAGTCTGTTATCTGGCACCTTTCTAAAATGCTGAAGAGCAATGATGTCCTTTTGATGACTAAGGTGCACCAGATTCAGGTCATGGTCTTCTCCAATCATGTGCTATGCATCAAAGAGATGGACAATGAATAAGAATGATAGAAGAATTGGTGTGTTTAGTTAGCTAGAGAATACTGATTATCCCATAGACTGTCAAAAGGACAAACAGATATGTCTTGGGGAAAGTGGAGCCAAGGTTCTCGTTATAGGCAAATGTGGTGAAGTTTCATTTTTCATACTTTGGACATATAGCTAGGTGAAGCTATTCTTTGGAAAGGGGCATTATGCTTGGATAGATGTAGCATCAGTGAAGCATCAAAAGATGGGTTGATGCATGACTTAAGCAATTAGGCTCTAGTGTGTCAAAAATGTTGAGGATGGTACAGAATAGGGCAGGTTGCAAGTCAGATGTTCGTAAGGTTACTATGAGCCAGACTCAACTTGACAGCATCTAACAATAACTGTGACACTAAGCAAAAAGGGGGGTTTGCTGATGAGATGTACCCAAAAGGATATGCACAAGTGGAGAAAACTTTCTTTGTAGTTTGAATAGTTCACTCTTTGCCCCTGAGCTTTCTATAGTCCTCCTGGACATCAACCCTGGAGCCTACACTTCTGTTACCATAATTGAAATTTTGATTAATCTTCTCCCAGTGGAATCTATCAGTGAAGATGCTAAGAAAACTTTAATGCTGAAATATCCTGAAAAAAGTTGCACAGGATTGAAAATAACTAAGGCCATCTGAGAGAGTGACTATTTTTCTGTAGATAAACATGGACTTTAGCTAACACAGGTTCTTTATATACCTGTGGTGATCATATTTTCCTCATTTGAAGGCATAACACATAGAAGAGATTACAATAGGCCATTTTCTTCAGATTTATACCGAATACTTTCTTGCCATTTTAACCATTAAGCTACCTAAAGCTGATTTAACTCTAGTAGAAAATCCTCCATTCTGGTGTAAGGCTTGAAATATTCATGAATTTATTGCTGTACTTCTAAGATTAATAAAGTTAATTTTCTTATTAACTGTTAATAGAAATGAAATATTGTGATAATGTCATTAAGAAAAATGTCTTTGGGGTAGAGGAGGACTTTGAGAAAAAAGGATATAATTTTTAAAGTAAATTTAGAGAATCGTTTCTAATATAAATTATTTTTATGTTATATCTTTAACATGCCAATAAATTGTCTATTTTCATCCCTTTTCAGTGGTTATGCAGTGATAATGGTAAATCAAAAGATGGAGAAAAAATAAGGTAAGATGTTTTAAAAAATTAGAAAAAATCAGAATCTTACTTTTGGCTATCAAAGTTACTATAACTCACTGTAATGAAAATAATATATGGTACCCCTCTTTTAGGTGAAAAATTTCATTTAACCATCAGCATACAACATTTGAAAAAAAGCACACAGTAAAAACATATTATTATTTTGGGAAGTTCATGCAAAAGCAAGATTTAAGTGAAATAACAGAAATACCTCTTACAATCCTTTATTTACATGATTAATAGATTTACACTGTTAGTGTTTAACTCAAATAGAATTTACTTTATAGATACTATTTAATTCAATGTGGGAACAGCATGGACAATCTTCTCTTCTGAAACTTACTGCTTCTGAAAACTTTCTGGAAGGTCAGCTATGGATTGGTTCCAACTCAATGGCACACAATAATAGCAATTTAATTCGGCTGCAAATAATGTATCTCAATATTTCAAAGAGTACTTTCATCAATAAAATCAAAGTCAGAAGTTCACTTACATATTTCGCCTTGTGCCTCTCAGCAGGTCTCTGCCATGGGTGACAGGGAAACAAGTAATCACTCAGAAGTGACTGACTTCATTCTTGTAGGCTTCAGGGTCGGCCCAGAGCTCCAAATTCTCCTCTTCCTGCTATTTCTGCTTGTATATGCCATGGTCCTCCTAGGGAACATTGGAATGATGGCCATTATCCTGACTGATCCTCGGCTGAACACACCAATGTATTTCTTCCTAGGCAACCTCTCCTTCATTGATCTCTTCTATTCAACTGTGATTGCACCAAAGGCTTTGATCAATTTCTGGTCTGAGAACAAGTCCATCTCCTTTGCAGGCTGTCTGACTCAGCACTTTCTCTATGCTCTCTTCATTGTAACTGAGGGGTTTCTCCTATCAGCCATGGCTTATGATCGTTTTAATGCCATCTGCAATCCACTCCTGTACTCTGTCCAGATGTCAACACGTCTCTGCATGCAGTTGGTGGCTGGTTCCTATTTCTGTGGCTGCATCACTTCAGTCCTGCAGACTAGTATAACATTCACCTTATCCTATTGTGCTTCTCGGACCATTGATCACTTCTACTGTGATACTCGTCCACTTCAGAGGATTTCATGTTCTGATGTCTTTCTTAATAAAATGGTGTCTTTTTCTTTAGCCTGCATCATCATCTTCCCTACAATCATGATCATTGTTGTTTCTTACATGTATATTGTATCTGCAGTTCTCAAGATAAATTCCACTGAAGGGCGTAAGAAAGCCTTCTCCACCTGTACTTCCCACCTGATAGTCGTCAGTGTGCTGTACGGTGCTGTCTTTTTTATGTATCTCACTCCTAACAGGTTTCCTGAGCTGAGTAAAGTGGCTTCCTTATGTTACACCCTTGTTACTCCCATGTTAAATCCTTTAATTTACTCTCTACGAAACAAAGATGTCAAAGATGCTCTGAGAATGCTCCTGAAAAAAAGAATACTTATATTTAATTCTTTTTTATCAGTGGCATAAATAAAATTCTTGGATATTATTAACAAAAATTTAACCAATAACTGAGGTAAAGGATGCTCCTATTGATGTGGGAAATATTTAGAGAGCTACCTAGTTTGAAGTCTATGTGTTAAAGAATACATTTCGAGTGTTTTATGCCCAGCTACTGATTTTGAAGTAACTTTCTCCATACTTCACCATAAGTTTGGATCAATAATTGCCATGATTTTTTTAAGAAATGAGAATATATATTTCTAAGTTTATACATGTCTTCCTAGGGGGATATTTGGAATGTATTATTTTCTCAAATAGCACTAATATGTTGAGTGTTTGAAATATAATAGTCAGCAGTAACAAAAATTGATGTAACAGACTAAAAAAAGTATTAGATTTATTTTAAAAGTTGTAGTGTGTAGTAGGAATCTTATATGTTTTTGCTGCACAGATTAATAAGAAGGACTGAGTAATTATATATTTATGTAATGGTTTCTCTGGCTTTATTATTATAATCTTGATCCTCATATAAATGTTTTCTAGAGGAATAAATTATTCTTAAAAATTCTATCTAGTCACAAGAAAGCTACATTGAAAGTAAATCAGAAGTCAAAGAAACTCAGTTTAGTCACACATACCTTTATAGTTTATTTTGTTAGTTTGGTTTGGTTTTAGTGTAAATTTTTTTTTCTACCTCTCACAGAAGGTACAATAAAAAGAATCTCAACAAATGTAAAATAATGTATAATAGTGCACATTGTTATACGTGTCTTTGGATTGATCTGTCAAATTAATATGTATTAAATTCTCATACCTCCTTAGCCCTATAATAAATGGGTATAAAATCCATGGAACTGAATCATTATGTGAAAATAGTTCCAGGGCATAGGTTTAAGGAGTTGAACTGCTAAGTCAAAGGTGGTGCTTGTCTATTGCTGTGAAGCTACCATAGAAAAAATATGAGCAATCTCCTTCAAAGTAGGTTACATACACCCCACAAAAACTTGCTGGAGGGTAAACTATGAGTCATTTCCAATATAACAGCAATAAATTGAGTTTTTATGAGTCATGGGTATAAAAAATTTTGTTTTTATAAACTCATAGTAAAATAAGATAAACAACTTGTTACGAAGAGAATTAACATGAAATGCAGTAAACCCAGTGACTAAAGATGCATAGAGCTCCAAGGGGAAGCTCTAAAGTCAAGAGGATGCAGTGGTCAGGGTAAGCTTTTATTGAGCCAAGTTAAATAGTTATGTTTTCATACAAAGGAAAATAGAAGATTATGTGATGCACTGCATGAAGGTTGATGACTTACTTTTTAATTTTATTTTATATTGATTTGCGTACAAAATTTGTATACATTGAGTGTAACACATTTCATCATTCACACTTTGTTTCATATGAGAATTTCCATACATTGTGTTTCATAAAATTTATCATTGATCTACACCCTATATTACCTCATCTTTTCAGGTCCTCACTGAATCTTTCCTATTCCTTCACCCTCCTCTCCCTTCATCTACCAAACTTTGTTGCTGCATAATTTCCTCCCTGCCCTCCCTCAGTTTTCCTCTTCCCTCACCTCCTCTGCTTGGACTTTCATACACGTCTTACTATTTAACTTCTATTATTACAATAATGGTTTTTGCAGTATTTGTCATTATGAGAATGAGTTCGTTTGCTCAGTAAAATGATTTCCAGACTCTCTTATGTTATGTAGTAATTTTAAAAATATTCATTACTCCTGATTGCTGTTTCGTATTCCATCATGTGAATGTACTACAATTTCTCAATCCATTTGTTTGTTGATGGACATCTGGGCTGTTTCCTCTTTATTGCTATTGTGAATAACGCTGCTATGACCATCAGTGTACAAATCTCCATTTATGTCTCAGTTCTATTCCTAGCAATGGAATACCTTGGTCTTACAGAATTTCTACATTCAGCTTCTTGAGAAAATGCCAAACTGCCTTCCAGAGTGGTTGTACCATTTTTACAATCCCACCAATAAAGTATGAAAGTTCCAATCAGTCCACATTCTCTCCAACATGTATTTCTTGCTGCCCTATATTTAAGATGGTTCAATATAAGAAAAACAATCAATATAATCCATCACTTTAACAAAGCAAGTAACCAGAACCACATGATGCAGAAAGGCCTTCTACAGAATCCAACACCCTTTCCTGATTAGAGTGCTCAGAAAAATAAGAATAGAAAGGAATTAAGATAATGACAAGTGTATACACAAAACCAACAATCAATATTATTATCAATGGAGAAAGATTAAAGGAATTCTCCTTACAAACAGGGACCAGACGAGGATACCCACTTTCACCACTCCTATTCAATATATAGTGTTGGAAGTATTTGCTAGAGTAGTAAGACAAGAAAAGGAAATAAGAGGATTCCAGATTGGCAAAGAGATGGTTATATAGTCGCTATATGTAGATGAGATCACAGGGTACATAGTAAACCCCAAGGACTCAACTACAGTAGTGTTAGACAGAGTAGATCAATTTAGTAGAGTGGCAGGATATAAGATCAATATACAAAGGTCAGTGGGATTTCTCTCCAGTAACAAAGAAAAGACAGATAAGGAAACTAAGAAAGAAAGACCCAACCACAATAGCTAGTCATAAACTGAGTCATTTGGGAAATAATCTAACTAGAGACACAAAAGACCTGTATAAACAAAACTATAGAACTCTTCTGTGAGAAACAATAAAAGACATAAAAAAATGGAAAAATATTCCCTGTTCATGAATAAGAAGACTCAATATAGTGAAAATAGCAATCCTTCCAAAAGCAGTCTACATATTTAATGCAATCCCAATAGAGACAAGTTCATTTTTTCAAATAGAATGAAAAGGCAAATGGTAAAAATATTTTCAGAGAAAAGACATCCTGAACAAGCAAAGCAATTCTGAAAAACAAAAATTTAGTGGTAAGCATAGCATCCCCTGACCTACTATACAGCTGAATAACCAAAACAGCATGGTACTGGCATAATGACAGGCGTATAGACCAATGGAACATAACCAAGAACCCACAAATTAACCCATCTACCTAGAGTGAACTTATTTTATTCAAGGAAACAAAACCTATGAAATGGGAAAATAAATTTCTCAACAAATGATGCTGGCAAAACTGTACTTCTACCTACAGAAAATTAAAGCAGGATCCTCATCTCACATCATACACAAAACTCAACCCAAGGTGGATCAGAGACCAAATGGTAAATCCTAAAACCATAAAAATCATAAGAGACAAAATGGAATCAAAACTAAATGACCTAGCCTATGATATAAAAGAGATTGGCAAATAAAGCCAGAAATGCACAACCAGGAGAGGATAATACTGATGAATGGGACCTGATAAATATTAAGTCCCTGTGTGTGTGAAAACCTTTTTCCAGTAGTGTAAGAAGAAAATCTGCTGATTTCAGGGTGGAGTGGGGAGGGGGAACCATCACATTTGGTAACTTCATCTCAGACAAGGGTCTCATAATGAAGGTTTACAGAATCCTACAGGACCTCCACAAGAAAAAAAGCTGATAACCCAATTACAAAATGGGCAAAAGATATGGAAAGACTTTTTATAGAGGAATACATTTGCATGTCCATTAGAAATATGAAAAAGATACTCAAAATAACTGGCAATAAGATAGATACAAATCAAAATCACAATAAGATATCATCTCACCCTTGAGGCAATGGCAAAGTTAATAGACCAGGAAGCAATAAATGTTGGAGAGGATGTGGAGGGATTGGAACTCTCATACAATGATTGTGAGATTGTAAAATGGTACAATCACTACGCAACACAGTTTGATGTTTCCTGAAAATATTAAGCATAGAAAATGGTGTTGGCAAAATTGGAAATCTATCTGCAGAAGAATTAAACAAGATCCCCACCTCACTCCATATACAAAAACCAACTCAAGGTGAATCATGGACCTAGGACTAAAACCAAGAACTATAAAATTCATTCAAAAAAAGCTTGGAAGAACTTTAGTAGTCCTAATCCACAACGTAACGAGTCTTCCAAGTATTCTGAAAAATTTACAACCAGGAGAAGAT